GCCCAATAGCGAACATGCAAGTTGTGGGTCGAAAATAAGGAAGATATCGTTCGTTGAAGATTGCGACCGCTCAAAAACCGTTCAAAATAGACAGAAAATGTTGATTATTTGGGAACTGGAAAGGTCCCGGTGTCTTTTTATTAGTTCATTGCATTCCTTGTGTCTTTCCGATGAAAATGATGTATCAGTCGAAGTATTTTGAGAAACTAGAATTTTTTGGAGAAATCGACCTCTTACTCCCCCCTTGTGAAATTTTCGACCAAAAATCAAAATTTCGCAATCTTGTTTTTTGCCCTCATTAAATTGTTTGCGACCTAAGAAGTTGCCCAACAGCAAACATGCAAGTTGTATGCCGAAAATAAGGAAGATATCGTCCGTCGAAGATTGCGACCGCTCAAAAACCGTTCAAAATAGACAGGAAATGTTGATTATTTAGGAACTGGACAGGCCCCGGTGCCTTTTTATTAGTTCATCGCATTGCTTGTGTCTTTCCGATGAAAATGATGTATCAGTCGAGGTATTTTGAAAAACATGATATTTTTGAAAAATCGACCTCTTACCCCTTATTCAAACTATCCAAGAAAGTGTCTATTTAAAATGTGCAACTCTGACTGGTTTATTGCAGATCGCCAAAACGGATAAGCCCACGTGCCATGGATAAGATGTGGAATGGCCACTCAACCATAACATAGACACCATGATTGTCAACGCGATGGCATCACACTCAGCTACCATAGCGACTCTCCCATCAGCACTCCCCAGCTTGATCCAGAACATCAGCAGCCTCAACCAGAGCAACAACGTCACGTCTCTTGAGAACCTGAACCCGCATTGGACGGACCTGTTGCTGATCATCGTCAAAGGCTTCATCTTCGCCACGATCATCGCCGGCGCCATTCTGGGCAACGCCTTAGTGATCATCAGTGTGCACAGACATCGCAAGCTCAGAGTGATCACTAATTACTATGTGGTGAGCTTGGCAATGGCTGATATGCTGGTGGCGCTGTGCGCGATGACTTTCAACGCCAGCGTCGAACTGACCGGGCACTGGCTGTTTGGCAGCTTCATGTGCGACGTTTGGAACAGCTTCGACGTGTACTTTTCCACCGCCAGCATCCTGCATCTCTGCTGCATCAGTGTGGATCGCTACTATGCGATAGTGCGCCCCTTGGAGTACCCGATCACCATGACCCATCGGACTGTCTGCTTCATGTTGGCCAACGTGTGGCTGCTGCCCGCGCTGATCAGCTTCATGCCCATCTTCCTCGGCTGGTACACCACTGACGACCACCTGCTCTACGCCAGCGCCCATCCGGACGTCTGCATGTTCGTCGTCAACAAGTACTACGCAATCATTTCCAGTTCGATCAGCTTCTGGATACCGGGCACCCTGATGGTGACGATGTACTTTCGCATCTACAAGGAAGCCATCCGGCAGAGGAAGGCGCTGTCGCGCACCTCCTCCAACATCATCCTCAACTCGATCCACCAACATCGAACATCCTACCGCGAACGCTACAGTGATCGGTATAGTGAACAGTATCTCCATCCAGAGGTGGAGCTCACGGTGGGAGAAATCAATGGCGCGAGGAGAAGCACGAGCTCGGGATCAGCAGTGTCGTACGGCACCACCATTACGGAGTTCAACACTTTGATGAATACGCGGGATTGCAGCAAAGCGGCCACCGAACTCAACCTAAATGGTAAGTGAGGTTCTCTGTACTCGACACTTTTGGATGCTTGGGTGTTTGTTGTTGGATTGCCACCAGAAGCCAACGTAAGTGGCTGTTGAGGCTGTGGTGCGTTCAGTAATTTCGGCTGCTGATGATGATCCTTAAAATCGATGATGATCGTCCGCCGTCTTACGAACGGAGGACGAATTGACAGATCTCCAACCAATAGAAACACTTTGGTATCATCGTACAAACGGATGCATGGGAGACGGGCTTTAGAGTATTCGCTACTCACGGTTTCTCTGATTTAGGGTGGTTGCTTGAACCATTCGTTACTTTGTGGCCATTAATTTTGTAACGCTCAAAGGACGATCTTCGATCTTCTTCGGTCACATTCGGTCTTCTGTTGTCTATGAAATTAGAAAAATTGTCGTCGTTTTGTGCGAGCGTGGCGTAAGATTATTGCATTGTTTTCCGTCCCGTTTTTGCTCATATCTCGGAGGCAAAATGAGCAAGATCTTTTTACATCATTCCAAAGAGGAATAAATGGCCTTTTTAGCAAGTGAACCATCGATAAGGAAATGTTGGCAGTTTTCTCAAAAAATGCCTAAATTTAAGAAGTTTTAGGTTTGC